TGTATGTGTCTTCTCACCACAGTGAGCACACGTGACAGATAATGTACATGGATTGACTCCATGACCGTACCTTTGCCATACGTAAGGAAAATACGTATTAACATTGTTGTTACATTGATTTTGGTGCCGTCGAAGATGGAAATGAAAACAGATAGATTTTGCTTTGAAGTGTTTCATCGTTTCTACGAGTTGTAAATCGTTTAACATAAGTGACACCTTGATCCTTAATCTCTGAGACAATATCGATTTCTGTCACGTCCAATACTTAGTGTCGTGGTTAAAGTGAATACCCGGCGCCGCAGTGCAGACATGTTATTGGTATCCTCCTGCAGGCACATACTCGTCGTCCTGCTTTATGAGAAAACAAGGTCACAAGGCGAGTACATTTGTCCTGACTACAATCTACAATCAGACAAATACAACTTACAAGGTGTCCTCTTTCAGTCAAAAAACAAGATGACTGCATGGTGTCAATCTTCAACCCAATTAAAAGAACAACGGCGAATGCAAGTCACGTTGTATCCATTGTGTCTTAATGCCAACGTTACAATTCCGAAATGCGTTTGTGTGAATATCTTGTGGATCTTCATAGAGCCATATATTTCAGCATTAGGTAATAAATAGCCAAATTCTTGTTTGTACACTTAGCTTTTCCGTTGTATTGCGAAGTGGGGTGTCAGAATTTAATGAATGAATTTAGGTAATTAAATAAGTGAATAATTAACCCATTTTATCCTTAGATTGTCCGCAATGCAAGCTGAAAGCTGCGTCATGCCAATATTAAGGTTGACGAAGGAAGCTATTGAATGCACTGATCAATATAAGTAATTTCCTACCTGAATGAAGATTTCTTATTTATAAATTATGCCGGGTCATTAACTCTCTTAAAACGTTTTTGTGTGTATTATTCATAGACATGTCCCAAAATGTCAATAATTTACTATTAGTTCACGTTTTAACTGATCATCACTATTTTGTAAAGGCGATCTAACAAATTAGTAACTTAATGAATGCGGACAGAAGGAATTGTTGCTGGTTTCCATGGGTACGATTAGTTGACGCTAATTTAACTATTGAGTATTACAGTTCGTTGAAGCAAGAGGAAGCCATCTCGAATCGATTTGTTAAATGTTTCCAGTTTGATACCACGATTGTAGGCTGTGTTGAAATTGGAAGATGACATTAGTTTGTTACCTTCACGCTTTTATTATACATAATTATATTATTATATATTCATGGTGATTTGTAATGTACTTACCTGCAGATCTAGAGATTATGCTGTACATGCCTCGTTGTTTTTGTCGAGCAGGACTTCATATATATACGTACGTGTATACCTACGTATACATGCTGTGCAGTTTCTCCACAACAGAGGACATATGTCCTATATATTCGATATATTCGATTAATTGCTACGCGCCCGCTTCCAAATTCAATTAAAATCTACTACTCAAGCTCTGAATTGAGATACATTACGTTTATCGGTAACTCAATGATTACCTAATCGGACATATTCCTCTATTTCATGTAGGTCCTAAGGTATTGGAGTAAAATTTGTGGAAAGCTATATACTCTGTCGGTACATCGTGTCCATACAACATTGAATTGGAAAACTGCTGAAGTTGATTTTGTAAAGGTATACGTTTATACCCGTAAGTACTGACCCGTGAAAATCCGGGTTAAATAGGTCTTCAAGGAACCTTTGCTTGTCGTAAGAGGCGACTCACGGGATCGGGTGGTCAGGCTTTGTGACTTGGTTGATGTATGTCAATTGCGTAGACTGATGCTCATGCTGTTGATCACTGGATTGTCTAGACTCGATTATATATAGACCGCCGACATGAGTGCGGCATTAAGCAACAACAACAACAAAATGTTTTACTTGAAAATGCCGAGAAGCCCATTCATTCCTGTCCTACAATTAAGTACTAAATGCATGGTTTTATGGGATTTTCCTCTGATGCATGTATAGCATCTTTTCCTGTCTGAAATTTCCAGACAATATATACAACTGAATATTATTTGTCAGGGAAAAACACTACTTAGTTCAGTTTCAGGTATATTACATTCTAGTGAGAACCTATCTAGCCCATGCACACCGATAATCAAATATGTATGTGTATTATATATTTATATTACATAAATTGCATATAATTGCATGATTGACGAGTGCACTAGTTATCCTTTTAAACAACTCGACTTGACTAGACATGATTACATCAATTCCTGGCCACTCCAAACAAGGATGCCTTGAACGTGGCCCACCAATGTAATCCCCGTCTTCCGAGTATCTTGAGATTATGTGTCGACAAATAATTAAGAGGGTTCTGAGATCTGAACGGAAAATATGAAAAAACCCAGACTTGGTTTGATCTTAAGACGTGGTTACTTGCGGTACAGTAAATCTATATTTGTACCTAATGGAAAACCTAATTGTGCAGAAAAATAATTATAATCACACTATTTCCGTCGGGTTCGGGGTGATGTTGGTCTTTACGAGGTTCTTCAACTTAATGTTACATGTTTTATCTACGTATACGCTGAAACATATTAATATTATCAGATGCAACTTCGCCATAATGAGAATGAATTAAATAAATATTTTTCTGAACAAGAAAATACGGTGTCAGATTAGATCTCCGGTACAGTGGACATTGTTGTACAATGATACCACTTTACGCTTCAACTGAAAAGAAGGGGTACGCTTAAAGGAAGGGGTACACATGCACTCATGACTCGTAAATAAAATAGGGTAAATATAATCTTAAGAAAAAAAAGAAACTTGACATAGGACAAATTTTAATTTTAGGAAATATTTGACACACATCAATCCATGCTGAATCCAAGCATGTCGGTAATGGTTACCTACGACAAAACGTTTGAAAAACGAAACGTTTAACGAAAACGTAACGTTACACTAACGTCTGTAGTGAATTGCTAAAACGCACCCTACATAAAATGCACGAGCATCATGAAATTGTGTATCACCCTGAGCTGAAGCCTATGGCTGTAGGCTTTAAAAAGCCACATCAATGGTCCTCCACATGCATTGCTTTCAGCCACTATAGACGACAAGAGAATGGAAAGACTGACAGAAGCTCAACGACACAACGCCATCGGCCGTTAACTAGGACGGACATCGCAGCATGATGTGGCAAGGTACTTCAGCGTGTCCAGACAGACAATATCAAACATATGGACCGGATACAAAAAATACTGGGAGTGTTAATGACAGATCCAGGTCGACCGACCTGCAGTAACCACCGCCGCCCAGGATCGCCACATCCGGTTGAGACATTTTCGTTCAAACACCACGGCCGCATCATCCACAACAATTCAAATCCCTGGACTGCCCCGAATCTCCGACCAGACAGTGCGCAATTGTCTATGGAAAGCCAGACTTTTTCCTCCAGCGAAACAATGTTCAGTCGTTCCCTTGGCCTTCTCGATTACCGGATGTGTCCCCCATTGAACATCTATGGGATACTCTTGATCGGCGCTTGCGCCAGCATAATCTGCCACCTCAGACACTACAAGCACTGCATACAGCACTTCAGCAAGTGTATCAAAACATTCCTCAAGACAGCATTCGGCATCTCCTTTCTTCTATCGGTCATAGCTGCCAAGCTGCTATCGATGCTCATGGTGGTCACACCAGATACTGACATTTTACTCTGACCAAGTGGCTTTAATAGTCCTGTGTGGTTTTACCAAACACTTTCTGGATAATCATGTTTTGGAAATTTGTAAAGTGATGATTTTATTGTAACTGAGCAATGATGTCGTGTTTGAATCAATGCACTAAGTCAGTAAACGCCAAAACAGCATGTCAAGTTTCTTTTTTTTAAGAGTATACTTGTATAGAATGTTGACACTCATGTTAAATCCAATGTGGTGTGAATGTTGATACCGATTATGGACCTGGACACTTGCTTGATATCTTATGAATGAGGATAATGGTGGCTCTTAGTTTCAGGAGTACCACCTCTGGTTAGATGCAAACAATTGGCATATATGTTAAGCCTAGGGCACTTTGACGCGCGCAATAACCAAGCTTTACCTGGAGCTTTTCACTAGAGTTGGGGTGAGCGGATATTTTCTTTTGAATGATCAAAACGTGCTTTACGAAAGTTTGCGTATGTCCTTAGTGCAAAGAATACCACGATGGGCCTTAAAATAAGGTAACCAACTGTGCTATGGAAGTCAGGTGATAGCCCAAGTGTGCCCAATTTCAGGTTGGCATGCTTGACGATATGTCCACCTGGAATGTGGAGAAGTAAGCCTCCACGACGCCATGACACCGGGTCTCTTCTCCAATATTGCTGAATGCGGTGTTAAACAACAAACAAACATTCTAAATAGTTGATCACGGTTAACGTCTTCCATCAAGACTCGAATTAAACCATCGTGAACACTATTCCTAACAACTTGCCATGAGAGTTTAATTGGACTACAGATCTAGGATAATGTCATCCTAAGGTTGTTACAAGTAGACAGCCCTTGGATGAGATGATTTAATATGGGTCTAGACCAATTTTCGCCTCATACACGCAGTTAGATTCATATCGTTCAGACGTCTAAATGTTTCTTATGTATCCCGATATATTAAGAGTTGAATCTGTAATGGATAACTTGACTGAATTACGCCTCCAGGTCATGAGTCAGTGCTTATAGCCGAAAGTATCGAGTTGTTGAATCTGCTAGTATTGGTTAAAGTGACAAGGCTCAAAACGATATTTGGTATTTCTATTTAATATCAGACAAAGTAGGTGGCTCATGCTGATTTTTATCCCTTTCATTATCTCTCATATCGACATACTAATGATATGCATTGAATTATGTGAGAAGATATTTGCACTCTTGATCTGTAAAAAGATAAGAAAAGACCAACACAAAAATAGACCCACGCTAGTTACATATGACTGTACACTAGGATTAACCATGTGCCTCTCTTCTTCTAGGTGACGTGTCATCAGTCCTGTAAGTCCTTGCGAGACAAGATGTCGCTGATCAACACAACCTATCCCGCTTCTGTACCGGTGACGAAATCCTTAGATCAAGGCAACTGGAAAACCATCGATGCTGTAGCATACAACATCGAAACTTATTACCTGTGGGTGATTCTGATTCTTGGGTTCCCTGGGAACTGCTTTTCGATCCTAACAATAATAAAAATGTCTCCTCCAAGGTCTCTTACGGTTTACATCGCCCTCCTCGCCATTGTGGACAACTTGGCCATTGTCAACAAACTCCTCATATTTGTTCTTATGGATTATGGAGTAGACATCGGATCATTTGGTTGCAAATTTCTTGGCTTTTGTGGAAACTTCCTCATCACACTTGCCAACTGGTTATTAGTTGCTCTGTCCGTGGAAAGATTCGCTGCTGTTTGGTTTCCTTTGAAGGTGGGTCAGAACTGGACTTTCAGGAAGTCTTTGGTTGTTGTAGGAGGAATAACGGTGCCGCTCCTGCTTTTGTTCCTTCACCTCTTCTGGACAACAGATTATATTGCCATGGATTACCCCGGCACATCGTTTTGTGGGATCCACGAGAGGTATATGGACTTTATGATTGATGTTTGGTACTGGATGAATGTTGCAATGTACGCCATTCTTCCATGCTCTCTACTTCTTACCTTCAATGTGCTCATTGTTGCAGGAATACTTAAATCGGGTAGATTGCATCAATATCTGAACAGGGATGACTCAGTGATTAACGTCAACGTCACGACCAATCGTCAACGGCAAGTGACCATAATGCTTGTGACATCAGCAGTTGCATTAGTCATTCTCACAACGCCACGGTGTGTGTTCCTCATATTATCACCTTACTGGACAGCCCCTGAGAACACCCACAAGGGAGCCATGTGGTATCTGCTTGATACTATTGCCTTTGTTTTATGTGACTCAACGCACGCTGTCAATTTCTATCTCTATTGCTGCAGTGCAAGGAGATTCAGACGCCAATTCCGTGACCTTGTGCTGTGCCGGAAGCGGAAACGACCCCGCAGCTTACAATATTACACTGTGTCATGCCACCAAACAATACGTTTTAACACTGCGCTGAGAAGGGATTCCACCGATCGACCATGCGTCCGGTACCGTAATCAGGATTACTGACTAGCCGACATATTTAACCTGAGACGTAACATCCAAGCTCACGACTATTTTGTCTTAAATAACATTGAGTACAAAGACAGTCCAGCTTCTTGACAAACTATCGTGACTTATATGTTCATGTAACCTGGCAACATATCAAAGGATGTACCAACGTACTGATTATTTCAAGTACCACACTGTGTCTGGTGCTGTTGGTAAAACTTTGAGTGAGTGAGTGAGTGAGTTTAGTTTTACGCCGCCCTCAGCAATATCCCAGCTATATGGCGGCGGACTGTAAATAAACGAGTCTGGACCAGACAATCCAGTGATCAACAGCATGATCATCGATCTGCGCAATTGGGAACCGATGATCACGTGTCAACCAAGTCAGCGAAACTGACCACCCGATCCCGTTAGTCGCCTCTTACGACAAGCATAGTCGCCTTTTATGGCAAGCACATGGGTTGCTGAAGACTTATTCTACCCCGGATCTTCACGGGTCGGTAAAACTTTGAATACAAGATATATGTGTAGTGTATATAATATGTGTATTTTCACAGAATGTATCTGAATGTTGCTCACCGTAGTGTAACCTGTGCCACTGTCTGGGGTGTTAAACATAGAGCCACGGGACTGTGTAGCTATCTTAAACTGTGAATAAATTATTAATGACACTTCAAATATATTATGGTACAGACATCGGTACTGGGTTCGTAGCAACAGCTGAAGCAAACGATTCTGGGAATCAGAAAATTTTTCGAGTGCATAGTTCAAGACTGTGTTAAATGCAAAATTAATGGTGATGCTTTGCATATAAGTGGATCTCGTATGGTCATTATAATAATAGAGTAAGCACTATGTAGTGTAATTATTTTGTATATTAAATTTAATTTGCACAAGACAATAGGACTTCATAAGACGGAACCTGCTCAATATTATCACTATATCAGAATGTGATGGTGGATGGTGAATCCTCTTCCAGTGTTGCAGGAATGATATCTTTCGAAGTAAATAATGTAACACAATTTATGCAGATACTTTGATAAAGCCGTGTATGGGACTGCATCTAAGATTTGGTTTTCAGCTTTGCACGACCCGTGAAGTTCCGGGTCAGAATATTGATCTTCAGTAACCCATGCTTGTCGTAAGAGGCGACTAACGGGATCGGGTGGTCAGGCTCGCTGACTTGGTTGACACATGTCATCGGTTTCCAAGTGAGCAGATCGATGCTCATGCTGTTGATCACTGGATTGTCTGGTCCAAACTCGATTATTTACAGACCGCCGCCATATAGCTGGAATATTGCTTAGTGCGGCGTAAAACTAAACTCACTCACTCAGCTTTGCACCTCTTTCGGTTTGTATTGTCCACGAGAACATACTCAATGTGGCGACAGCAACATCTGTGCTATAAAGGTTAAATCAAGGTAAAAATTCATAGCATCCCGAATAATTCAGGACACATGTTAGGCCCCAACTACTAACTACACATGTACCAATTTTCAACATCTCTTGGATGGCCGATTAACGGTGACGCCAGAAAGATGGAAATAAAAAATTGGCGTTGCTAGATTAGTTAAAAAAACCAAAACAAAAGTAAAACGTAAATGTAGTTCGAAAACCACATACTTGCTGCAAAGTACAAGCCACAACGATGCAGACATGACTGGTTAATGGCCGAACATGACAATTTAACTAAGGTCGATGTGACCATAATGATAATCAGGTTGAATTCTGAGTGTTGCAGACACCATAGCCAGAATCATCCTAGTCATCCTAAATAGTTTAATCTCCGTAGACCTTGCAGTTTCAGAGACGATGTCAACATTTAACGATTACATTGTCTTCCACTCAGGTGAGCTGACACTAATATAATCAATCACGTTTTAAAGCTAGTTTATTTGGTTCATAATGCTCATACTGATATGTACCTGCTCTGTACATAAACCACTTTGTTGTGTGGAGAGTTTAGTGACACTTGCTTTTCTTATGTTTCGTCCCAGTTATTGCTTTCCATGAAATTGTTTGTGTAATGTGCTGATCACATTCCTTATTTTGTATTCAAATTTGGCATTGGTGTTTTGCTCTGTTATCTCTTTACAGTGGCTCTGAAACTACGTATTTGAGTTATTCATTAATGTATTCACTTGGTTATTACTCAGCAGCATGCACATGACCACCAACTGCTGTAATAACAGTCATCATTATGTGAATACCGATGTACCTCAAGAATAAACGTGATTATCTTTAATGCCTGTAATATTTGTAATATTTCTAATGTTTTAATTGATCAATTGTGTACTGACTGCCTAAGCAAAATAGGTTCTTCAATCGAACAATTCTCTGTTAAGAACAATCTTTTTTGAAGGTTCTACCACCACTTACCTTGGGGATAAAAGTATCAGACACAACGCTTCTGTATTTATTCGTGCAACGGAATTGTGGAAAAAGTCTGTCGGTTTTCAAATCATTTCAAGAATACAATAGAATTAGAATACATTTGTGAACTTCATGTACATTTCAATTTAAACGATTTTCTTGGGATAAACCTGTGTTTCCAATACTACTGGGAAAGCAATATTCTTGTCATCAGGATTACTGACACCAGAAGAAAAGAGCAAGAACAAACAATAACAATAAAACATATAAAGACAATACCTACAAAATATAATCTCTAGTACACCAGGCGTATCTTGAAGCACATCTTAAGTTGTGTCTCACTCTTTCTCTTCCAAATACAAGATTCAATAATCGTCATATATATTCAGGATTATATTACGTACGTGTAAATACGTCACTGATTTACCGATATCTTGAACTATTGTCATCATTGCCATTTCCAGGGAATGTTGAGTTCATTCACCAAGCAACATTTAACAAATGAAAAACACAGAACCTACTTTCTCATATCCCTTCGTGTGCAGCTACATCATCATCAATAACTTGATTGTTGTTCACAAATCACATCATATAGCAGTAATACTGCTGAGACAAATAAATACTCATAATATAGTCAGAATGGTACAATCACAGATATTTCCTATGGATGTGGAAAGGGTTTTGTCGCTTCTATTCTACTACTGAAAATTGTTTTAAAAAAATACTGGACATGAGTATTGAATTTCTGATAATAAGACACTCTTCAACCTGAAAGGTGTCTCTGGGAAGATCATCAATAAACAGAAACACCACCCATCCCCACCTTTACTGGATGCGCCATCCACCCTTTCTTATGTACTATGTGACATGAACCTTTTTAATATTGCAGTATCTGGTAACAGCTGAAATGACCTGAACCAGTTTTTCTTTGATCTCCAACACTGTAGCCTCCAGCTAACTGAAAGCAAGTAATAAACACGCCAGCTTTAATAGCATCATTTCCGGACTGATCAACACAGAAATATATGATAGTTATTTTGCCTCTAGCGACAATAAGCGAGAATTAATATTCACTTATTATCTTTACCCAAACTACATGGATCAGACTGTTGTATTTTGTCGAAAGTACAGATTAAAACAAGAAGCTATTAATATAATACGATGACATGTGTCAACTAAGTCAGCGAGTCTGACCACCCGATCCCGTTAGTCGCCTCTCACAATAAGCATGGGTTTCTGAAGACCAATCCTAACCCGGATCTTCACGAGTACATACATGTTTGACAAAGAGTTAACTTAGGGAGTTGGCTTAGCCAATCAGTCGCCAAGAGAGAGAGAGAGAGTCTTTATGTCTTGGTGACGTAGTTGACAGCATATCATCGTTCCCCGACTTGTCATCATTACTCATGATGAAATGATGTCATTACATGATGACAGTTACTGGATTCTCTGGTCAAGCTGACTGTGACACCCCTGGGCAGAATTGGTCTTCAGCAACGCATGCTTGTCGTAAGAAGCGACTGACGGGATTGGGTGGTCGGGCTAGCTGACTTGGTTGATACATGTCATTGCATCCCACTTGCGTTTGTCGATGCTCATAACGTTCATCACTGGATTGCCCGGTCTGGATAACTTACAGACCGCCATCATATGGCTTGTGTATCGTCGGGAGTTTAACAAGAAACAAGCAAGCACCTCCTCTGGTGTAGCTTTTCTTTCCAGGCTGCCGTGGGCAACATTCCCGGATGCTGCCTTGTGTTACAGGCACTTACTTTTTTAGACAGTAACTGTGAGTGGCGGATGCTACCAGTAGAGCAGGACATATTTTCCTTTTTTTTGCGAACACTTGGCACCAACACTGATTTCCGTGATCAATTTCTAGAATGTTTAAATGGAAAGTGTTTCGTGAGACGGATTATTTTCGGGTGTCGAATTCACAGTTCATTTTCACAGACGTTCAGAACTGCACAATACAACTGAAAGGTTGAACGTCCAAACATATCGTGAACGAATAGAATCGGTATCACTGTATTCCCGTGTAAATGATCTATCGATGCCGCGCGGAAGGATCGGGAAGGAGGTCAATGTCACGTGGCTGCAGCCTGTGTTATTTCCGTATTGTTAATAAGATTGGCAAAGTATTTACTGTTGCATCCGTGTGCTCCACATGCCATGGCGCTGAGTTAAGCCTCACCCACACAGAAGAATATTCATAACCATTAAAAAGGTTTTAACAGCGATCAGACGGTAGTAAACACATGTGAAAAGTCGCAAAATCAATATACATTATAGGCGCACTGCATTAAGGCGGACTGGCCAAGATACATGCTTAATTTTAAGTATTTATGAACACAAAACAATAAACCAATTTAAAGTATTATCAAGCATATGATCAAAAGGTAGCAGCACTGATATAGTAGCTAGTCAGTTGTGAAGGGTCAACTGCCAAATAGACCGTGTTAATGTATCACAGATTTAGAATGTTGCCAGAAGCCAAACTCAGTTTCTCTGACATTGGCTCAAACCATCTGCTACGATAACCGGACAGCAACTCAGTCCTTTGAACCTTAGAGGAGCGACGGTAAGACAAGATGGTCTTCAACGTGCGATAATCTCTCAGAGTATATTTAGCAAAAAGCTGTT